AACCCTCCTGGGCCAGATCAAATCCCCAAACTTGGACATCTAATAAAATGAGGTGAATTCCAAACCATGACTATGCAGCAACCTGTAATTACACACACCAGTTTTTGAGCGAGTGATACTTCAAAAGAATGCGTCAATCATGGAAACCCGGGACCCAACTATTGGCCTGCAATTTAAACATCAACCTAAAACCCTACCCTCCTGCGCACTGTGTACTCCCACTCTTGCACCATGACCAATCAGAAAGAGCTCAGGTCAAAGATTGTTCTGCATCGACGCTCACATTACACCTGCACGCCATGAGCTCAGAACATCTTACAACAGCTACAGCAGCTAAGGAACACTTTGTCCACCAGGAAGATCAGGGGGAGATAAGGCGAAAGCACAGTTTGGTGTTTTCGGCAACTCCTTGGCAAAACTCATGACCGGCCTGGTATCCACACACAGATCAAACCTCGAACACCTTGTCACAACTTATGTCGGCCTTATCTCCAAGCCTAGTATGCATTAGGCAAGGATCCCGGCCAAGTCCCTTCAGCTGCTCGTCAGGCTTGGCAAGCAAGCACATATCCTTGGGTCAAGTGAGTAAGACTGATGATCAATCACCATGCGGGACCCGGTAGTCTACCTGCAGCCCAAGAGCGGTGAAATTCCAGACCTCGCGAACGCACATGCTGTTCCACAGAAGGGCCATGAAACCACAAACAAAGCACTTCCGAACACTGTCCTTGCCATCTGGCCCAAGGCCCTTCGCCTCGAAGATCTTCTGCTCTACATCACGGATGCCTTGCCAACTGCAAGTGGTCGGGATTGCAAGGTATTCTTGTGAGAACAATGTAACAAGTAAACCGCAAAGCAGTGAAGATGTGCAAAGGCGCCTTTCAGAACATCAGTTTCCCAGAGCGTGCCAGATTCATGCTCCACTTCCTTGCGCACAAACAGAAAAGCCGGTGGAAAATGGAGGAGCCCGGCACCCGGTTGGTGCTTTCAGCAAGCCGGTCCTAATACAGGCAAGCTTCATAAATTATGTGCAGGTAAAACATTCGCTCGGATCCTTGGATCAAGTGCAAGCGGTGCCATCGTCAACGTATCCACACCACCCGTACTCTTGCATCCACGGCACGCTCCTCCAAATCTTCACAGCCGGCACATGCCAACGCAATCTCCGAAGCATGTAATGGATCAAATTCAACTCAAGAAGAAACTTCCACAAACGAATCAACACGCCTCTCTAATGCTGCGGCCGCTTCCTGCCTGCAGGGTACATGCGCTGCTCACATGCATAGCAAAACTGAAGCAGAACTATGATGGCATAACTTCTCACTAGCCAAATTCCGAGGTATGCCGTGCTCGCCTGTTCTTCGCAATGTGCTCCTGACATGGGAGTCATCATTATCCAAGACAAGACAGCTGCACATCTGGCAGTTTGAGAACCACAACCAATGTATAAACCCACGCTGCTTGCAAGCCAAAGTTCGCGAGGAATGACAAGCACAATATATCATTTGGACGGGGGTCCAGAAGAGGAACGCCGACCGGCAGGAGCAACATGAGGATAAAACATGACAGAAGGCAGCAGAAGCCGCCAAAGTAGAAACCTGAAGCAATATCGAGTGCATTCGCTCTTGCTGCAAGTGTTGTTTGGCCAGCCTAAATGGTGAACGTAACAAGATGGCTCCACGGGTTTGCTTGGATCTTTTGCACCAGCCACATCTCGTGACCATGACCGCGGTGACCGCCATGACCGCCATAACCGCCATGACCGCCATGACCGTGATCGCCATGTCCAGCATCACTATGGGCACCAAGTGCAAAATCCTCTTGGGGGGCATTCGACGCAATTTCACCAGCAGCTGGGTTAGTGGCCACTATGGCTGCAACGTTGATGTCGTTGATGGCCGGATTCATTTGCGGAGCTTGTTGCATTGCAGGGCTGGCCATGTGGACCATGTCGGTTGGGTCATTCTGGGGCCCATGGCTGTCCCAGCCCGCGGAACTCGAGGGATACTGAAGGCCCTGCGTTTTTTTTACAGTGGGTATTTTCGTAGTTTTGTTTGGTTTTCAGATAGTTACTAACAATAATCAGGGGGTTTAAACGTCAACCCTATGGATAAATCGACAAGCTCAAGTTAATTCTTGAAGCTGGCCTCAAGAAATTATGGTTTGAATTCTTTGTAGAAAACAAGCAAACTGATTATGAATAGGATTTAGATGTAAAAGTAAAGAGCTTATTCAAGATTTAATTTTAGGATTTCGAATTTATAAAAGTCATTTCAGCAATTCAAAGAGTTCTTTACTTGTTGCGATGCTATGGTCCTGTTTTTTGGAAATTTATAAGAAACTGTTAAAAATAGACTGTGAAAAAGCTCCAAAGCCTGCATCCCACGCTCTTGGCACGCTTAAAAACCCCATGTTGCTCACCCATGCTCCCCATGAATCGTTCTGTCCTACCTTCCCGAAAGCCCTAAACCCTTAGTGAACCCTGAACCCTGTACCCATGCTTCTTTAAGGTGCTTGGACCCAGCAGCGATTCACACTATTGAGTAATGATTTCAGAAAATAAGCGCGGTGAACTACATGAATTAAACAGTGAGCTCGCGATAAGTGATAATGTGGTGCGAGGGGAACGCCCTTGCACAAGTGGTCCAGATCTCATCTTCCGCAGTGAAGCTGCGGTCCCTGACTGAGCATCGTTCACACAGATGCTCACCCAATCTTCAACGGCAGCTAAGCCAAGCTTGCCCGCACCTGCCTGCCAAACGTGTTTTGTGGGATTCCAGACACGTTGGCGGCCAAAATATGGAAACATCTTCAATCCCATGGTTGACCCCGACCTGCCACCAAACATCGCCAATTCTCCCTGGCGCCACCAGCCACTGTTCAAGAGGGCCCCGCGAGGACCCTCTTCTGACTTGTTCAAATGCCAGCAAACTAAACCATCGTCCACCACGAAGCCACCATCCAAGCCCTCCAGCCAGACTTGCCAAACTAATTAACCGAGAGGCCGATCTGCACAAAGCCTCTCTCCACTAGCAACCAAGCATCACGACCATGATCATGGAGAATCCACAATGCTGTATCAGAACAGGACGACCAAGACATGAGGTCGCAGCCCAACCAAACAGTAACCAAGGCGACCTCCTAAACCCTAAGCTATACAACTCATTCCTTCCAGAAGGAGGGCCCGAGTGCACGACCACAAACCCACCTTGCCTCGTCAACGTAATCAACCACTTGGCAACCAAGAAGTCAATGCATACACAAAGGCATACTCCCCCGCTCCAGGCCGCCGACAACAAGCAAACTGTCCGGGTCCCCCGGCAGCTGGGGTCGCGCCGCCCTCGCCATCCAGTCATAGCATCCAAGGACTCCCTGCACAGGTGACGGTTTCTCGGCCTCCTCGGCTGGGGTGTCACCGAGGCCTCCCGCTTCCACAAGACTTACAGCCTGCAGCGGCTGTCTAGAGCGCCCTGCGTCCCTAATGTGCTGGCCACCACAACACCAGCACTGACGACGTAGGTAGCACCGTCCGGAGTGATTCAGTCAATTCCCGCCATTGGGTTTGCAAACCAGACCCCCAGTGGCCCCTCTCCGGAAAGGGGTGAGCTCACGATAAAGACACAACCTCCTATCCATAAATGAAGTACTCTCAACAGGAGCCTTTTAAATGAAAACATTTTCTGAATCCTTATGGCTTTTCCCATGAAGCATTTATTGCACTACGGATCCTGTCTCTTGTTACATGTATATATGCTACCCCCCATGTACCTACCATTTTGCTAAACCTTAGGGAAGCACTTTTAGAATTTGACTAGAAGGAATTCCAGAATCCTTGCTTCTTTGGTTTGGGATTTCCATGGGATTCTGGTGTATATGAATTCCTTCCAAGTTCTAATTAGAAACACTGCAGAAATCCTTGGCTTCTGGATTTCCATTGTTCATGTGTTGGAAAGGCCTTTGGTTTATGTGAATTCCGTTTAAAATTTGATTAGAAACAATCCAAAATCCTCGATTCTTTGATTTAGGGTTGGGCCCTGGTTTATATGATTTCCTTTCAAAAACTTATTAAAAGCAATACAGAAATCCTGAGTTCCAGGATTTCCGGATTTCCAATTGTGGGTCAGAATTTGATACTGCAGAAATCCTCGGTTCCTGGATTTCCACTTTTCATGTTTTGGAAAGGTATTTTGTTTAAAAGCACTCCTTTTTAAAATTTGATTAGAAACAACTCCAGAATCATTGAATCGTTGATTTGGGTTTTCCCTAGGGCTCTGATCGATATGCATTAAGACTTTAAAAACATTATTGCTCAAGGACCGTGCTTGAGCCGTTGAAACTAAATCAACAAGATCGTCAAAAGTGTCAAGCGTTGCAGACAATCTTCATTCCAATCCACTCGGACTTTTTCCCACAGTGGGGCGAATCATCTCTGAATCGTTCTGTCTGAACCATGTCTTTTTTCATTGACGTTGTCAACGTGCCCAGACAAGAAGGCACAAGCGACCAGCGAACGCTCATCCCCTCACAGCCCAACTACTCAGATAGACCTTAGTAACACGCCTGCCAGACGAAAGAAAGAGCACAAAACTGCTGTCTGCATGTTGAGCTGTCCACACTCTTCAGCAACGCAAAGTCTTCTCAGACCTGCATAAATGCATGCCTGGCAACTGAGTGTGAAGGAGGTAGTCACTCGAAGGAAGTAACGAAACTGAGCTTGAAACTGTGAAGTCTAAGACGGCCCAAACTCGACCTGACCTTCTTCAACGTCCTTGTACACACATGTACAACCGAGCAGAAAGCTGTTCAAAGGGTGGGCAAGGGTGGGTCAAAAACTACAAAGGCAGTTCGGAACTTGTTTGGGGTCAGCACCCCAAGTTCAGCTATTCCCTTCCTCAAGCTGTCTGCGAGCTGGGGCGGAAGCTCACTCAATTGTCAACCTGAAGCAGAGCATGCATGAAAACTCTGAAACGATTGCAAAGGACTCAAATGACTCAAAATCAAGCACTAAAACTGTTTATCAGTTTTTCCTTTTCGCAAGCACTCTTCTTCGAGCACTCAAAGAACGTCGCTTATTGCTCAAGACGGTGCTTGAGCCGTTTAAACCAAATCAACAAGATCGTCAAAAGTGTCAAGCATTGCAGACAATCTTCATTCCAATCCACTTGCTTTTTCCCACAGTGGAGCGAATGATCTCTCTCTCTGGTTCTGTCTGAACCATGTTCAGTGTCTTTTTTCATTGACGTTGTCAACGTGTCTCTCCTTGCAAGTGTTGAATCCGATGGGATACAAAGCTGGACGAGCAAACTGTTGAAGAGAAGACGGAGAGAGATTAACTTTCCCCCTTGGATGCCTGTTCTCTGGCTCCAATTTGCATCTTGCCTGCCTCAGCCAGTAATTTGACATTGCTTTCCTGGATCGCCGCTTGGTGGCCTCGTCGCGCTGATGCACCCTCCCACAGTCAGCGAACTTCGATTCCTGTGGGTTAGCTGCCTGTGTGTTTCACGCATTAGCAGTCCGACTGCTGCCTTGAGCAGTCTCGGCCAAAAAATGTGTCGTGTAAGAGGCTTGCGAGGAGGTCAGATCTGACCACTGCGGTTCAAAGTGCAAAAGAAGGATGAGCTTTCAAGGTTCATTACGCGTTGAGGATTGGTCAGGGAGGGCCACGCAAGTGTCAGGCCAGTTTTTCTCAAAGATCGCTGTCTGGACGGCAAATGATAGAAAATGGAGATGAGCATTCGCCGTCCCGTCGCTGATTAGCTTGTGCCTTCTTGTTTGGAAAGCATTGGAGAAGATCCGCTCTGACATGAGCAAACACACTCAAGACAAATCAAAATCAAAAAGTTTTTTTCTCTCTCTGCCGTTCTAGTGGCTGAGACTCTCTCAGCATTGGGCAACATCTGAAGTTGCGGTTACCGTTGTTTCCTTGCCGTTAAGGTCAAGAGAGATGGTATGCCATCGGAGATCTCCCTACATCTGGTGATGGATTCTCCAGAGGCGCTCGCATACAAGCTAAAGGCCAGGTGGAAGAGTTCATACATAGCGGTTAAGCAAGAATTCTACTCATAATCACTCCCGATGGACTGTGCTGCTCAGGTATCCAACTGTTCATACATCAGTGGCAAGCACACACTCACAGTTGTTGAAGCGAGGTAGAAAAAACACCAAAGAGAAGGTCACAGCCTTTCAAGTCCGAGCCCTCTGATTTTTGTCGTGGTAAGTTTTAAGACTAGGAGCAGTGCAAGCGCACAGCTAAGATTTTTTTCTCTTGTGTTTTGTGTTGTTCTGTAAATCTCTTGCTTTGCCGCGGCTCCAGTCGCATCCAACCAGACTCAATCTCCTTGTCGATGAGAAACGAACTATGGAAGGCTTTGCCTCGGCTGCTAAACCAGTTGCTCATGAAGTCTTTGTGAGGCTGTGACTTTCTGGCCACTGCAGGCCAGACGGTATCGGCTCACGCACTCCTAGTAACCTCCGCTTTGAGTATGGGTACAAGAGCTGTGTCCAAATCGCCGGTTGCCGTGGCAAGAGCTTGCAGGGCATTGAGGCGCAGAGGCAAAGGTTGGCGAGCTGTAACATCAACTTCTGCGCTCGGTGTGCC